CTTGCAGTTTGTGCAGTTCTCCGGCTGAATCCTCAGCCACTCTTTTTAACCATTTCTGATTTGAGAAAAAGATGGGGCTCAGAAAGTCATCCTTGCTGGGTTTCCTAGAGTGCCAATTCAGATAATACACTGCAAATGTATTAGCCATTTAGTGGCCCCAATACTACAGTTGTAGGGCCAAACAGAACCGTCATTCTGCCTCCATTCCATAAACGTACATCATTTGCATAGAGTTTAAACTTGTCTCATCTTCATTATGGACATTGCAGTCTTTTGGGCAAGAATCTTTTTCTTGTGTGGATGTGCTGCCTAACGGAGGCAGGACTTGAAGAGTCTTTCATTAGCAGCGAAGGAACATTGTGCTGGACCATGTATGCATCTGGACGAGGGAGAGGATAGGTTATCAGGAGGAAGAACATTCAGTCATTTCTACTTGCTCCACAGATTAGCCTTATCTTCTTGTTTCTGGCCTAAACAATAGATTTAGTGTTCCTTGCTGAGAGCATGAAAAACCCTGTGTTGAGCCTGATGGATATGCTTCATGTACTGTAAGAGGACGTTGCTTTCTTGAGAACAAACTCCTTTAAAATTACTAAGTTGCTCTTATACTGTAGTCTTCAAAGGTGAAAATGCCATGTTATATAGTATTAATTCTTCATTGAGGAAATGTATTATAGAAATTCAAGTTTTAAATTTGCAAAATATTAGAAGATGCTTTTTTCATGTCCATTGTAACTTAGACCAAGTTTTAAGAAAAATGCAAAGTAGTTTTCAGAAATAATTGAAGATAAGAAAGCCTTCCTTTTCTAAAGGCAACTAAATAAATTTAGCTCTGTACCTGGCCTGTCTAAGCTATTGTTGTCCTTTGTGATGTTTGATTCTTTAATGAATACAAATGGATGGAATGAAAAATTCTTTAATGTTTAATAGATGAAAAAATGAAGGTAAAGTTTTTGTTCCATGTCACCTCTCTTTCTGTCTGTGCTTACAAAACCTCTGTCACTCTTACTGTGTTGACAGGGGTGCTGCTACTGCTGGGATGTTATAGTGTCTTCTAGTTTCCTGTCTTAGTGAATAAATACATTTTCACCGTCACTGGCGAATCCTGCCTCCTTCTCCAATGGCAATAATGCTGTGCTGATCATATACTGCTGTGCTTGATGACGATTTGTCACCACCACCTTCTATGCAGTCCACAGCCCTTAGTTACCACACTTGCTCATTGTTAGTGTTGTTCCTTCTGTTACATTGCACAGCTACTTCTTAATCTGTTCTAAGACTGAAGCAAAGATTGATGTCTGATGTTGTTGCCAATGGTTCATGTTCTCTAGTCCATCTTTCTTCAGACCTTGTTTCACCTGGGACATTTCCCAACACAAGTTTCTTCAGTACTCTGTAGATGGGTATTTTCAGCTCATAGAGTAGTAGGAGTATTATTGTTTGTGGGGAACACTATGCATTGGGAGAATGATTTTTGATAGAACTATTAATTCATATCTTAATTCTTAAATATATTGCCACTATTATTATTACTCTTTAATTTTAAAGAAAATCTGTTTTATGGCATCAAATATACATGCTGGCATTTCTAGGCATACCATAAACAAAAAACCTCAATATTTTTTTACCACCAATTTTTAGCATTCCTTGCCTTGTATTGTTAAAAATTAAAATACAATAACAATTTTGGAAAGGGAAGTGTGTGAGAAATTCCCATGGTTGAGTTTTTGAGGGCAAATTGAAGAATTTTTGCGCTTTTTACCTGAAAGAGTGAAAGCAGAGATGCAGCAAATGTTGCGTCTATGGTTGGGAGAATGAGGAGTCTGAGCCAGAGAAGTTCATAAAGGGCTTGACTGTTGGGTGATATCACAAAACTGAGGAGAATTGACGTGACTCGTTGCTTTTTGATGCCTTTTTTTTTTTTTTAGCTTATTGCTCAAATACTATGTGTTATCTATTGACAAGGGAGATGAACCCTTTCTACTTCTTTTTCTGTGTTTTTGACCACCTTCTCTGAGACATGTAGTCTCAATATGTATGTATCAGCATATATGACTTGTTCTGCCATAAACTCACTTCCTTTCTCATTCTTGTCTATGTTAGCCTGGAAAGTAACATCTCCTTTTGTATATCAGAAGCATTATAACCTTCATTCTTTAAGAAAAGCGTTTAATTTAAAGCGCAGTGAATGAGCATGAGTAGACACATACCATAAGCTTTGTTTAACTGTGAAGTAGATTCCTTGCTCCTCAGTCATTATTGGCCTAACTCTTTTTCTAGTTTTAAAGTTATGTTGTTTTCCATTAGCTGAAGATCTAGCCAGGAATAATTTGTCCTTGCCTGTATTTTCTCTCTCAGTGCTACATGTATTGCCCTTACTTAAGGAACTAAAGAAAACTGTAAAAGCTTACGTTCATTGAAAAAAAAGTGTTGAAGTGGCTTGTTTCTGACAAGGAAAATCCTTGATGAGGAGTATCTTGGGCATGAAGTATGATTGTTAGAAGCATGAAGAGCACTGGCCTTAAGGAAAAAAGAGCCCCCGTCAAGCACTGAAACTAAGAAATCCAAATCATAATGCTCATTTTAGAAACTGGAGGATACATGTAGGCTCGTTAGTATTACAGACTAACAAATAATGCTTTACACTTTTACCTGTTTGAGATCCTTCTGATGTAAGAGAATAGCCTATGTTTTCACATTGTATTGTTTCTTTGCAGGAGTCAGAGAGTAGTAAGTTATGTTCCCTATATTCCTTCCGAAATACCTCTACCTCACCAAACAAGCCCGACGAAGGAGGTCGTGACCGCAGTGAGCTAATGACCAGTGTTAACTTTGGAACACCAGAACGCCGCAAAGGAAGCCTTGCAGATGTGGTGGACACACTGAAGCAGAAGAAACTAGAAGAAATGACCAGGACTGAGCAAGAGGGTATGTGTTGGATAAAACCAATAGTTTCCCCACCCCCAAACCCTACAATTTTTATGGCATAAAGAATGTGTTGGGTATCAAGAGCCAGAAAATTGCATAATTGGCAAAGGCTAGGATAAAGTTATTCACAGGTTACCATGGTAATGGTAGCTTGAGATCCATTAGGGATTTTAGACAAATATGCCAGTTTTTTAAAACTTTCTAAATTGGGTTAGTTGTCTGTGAGTCAAAGCAAGAATGTCGGTTTAGGTGAAAATTCAACTCTTACTTGAAAGGTTATGATGAATTCTTAACTGGTTGTAGAGTTGTGAGGGATATTCTTCAGTGGTATTTGTTCTTTTTCTTTTAAAAGATAAATGTTTATTTTTGTCGTGGTTTGTACAATTGCTCACCACCCGCTGACCGATGCCCAGCCAGTCCCCGAGCAGCGGCCCCCCCTGGCCAGCTTTCCCCAGTTTATGTACTGAGCGTGACGTCATATGGTATGGAATGTCCCTTTGGCCAGTTTGGCTGTGCCCCCTCCCAGCTTCTTGTGCACCTCCAGCCTTCTCAGTCGGTAGAGCATGGAAAACTAGAAAGTCCTTGGCTAGTGTAAGCATTACCTAGCAACAACTGAAACATCGGTGCCTTATCAATTTTGTTCCCATCCTAAATCCAAAACACAGCACTGTACCAGCTACTAGGAAGGAAATTAACTCTATCCCTGCCGAAACCAGGACAATATTAAACAATAGGAATGAATAAAACATGAGCTGGTTTGTTTTGCCTTAGAAATTCTCATCTTTCATCACCTTAATGACCCAGTATCTGTGGCTAGGAGAATGGGAAACAGTTTTAAGTGTAAAGGGTACCTAGTTCTGACCTATATATGTAGAATTGTGGCTGAAGAAATAAATTTTTTTACAGTCTGCTCAGATATTGTTACAAGTGTTAAAAGAGAGAGAGAAAAATGAGGACAAGTCTTTGAACTCTAAGGCAGTTTATGTATTCAGTCCTTATTCAGGTATTTTCATCGACTTTGCTAAGATTTTGGCCTTGATAGGAACTAACAGAACTGGAGAATGAGTTTACCAGTATATCAGGGTCCGCTATGAAAACCTTTGCCCATGTCAAGTAGAATAAAGTCTTGGTTGCTTCTGCAACAATACCTTCTAGTCTGTGAGCTCAAACATGAGTTTGAACCAGGGAAGATGCAAGAGCTGGAGGCTCTGAAATAGATAAACAGGTGTGGAGGCATCTGTGTGGATTCTGTTAGTTAATTTACCGGTGGTGTTTTGTGGCATTAAAAATAACCCAGGAAGAGTATTTGTAACATAGTAGAACCACAAGGCAGTAGAACTTTGTGATTCCTTTTTTCTTTGAAATATGAATGAGTTAAGAATGATTTTACCTCCTCAATTTCATGGTATGGTCATAGTGCACTTCAAACAATGCACTTTAGGATCCCTTGGCTCCATGTAGCAATGGAGATTTCAATTAAAATTGATGCTGTTACAATAATACGTTTAAATATGGGATAAAATCATGTAGGGATGGAAGTAGGCTTTCAAATTTCTTGGCATAATTGTTAAATGCCAGCACATAGATAAATGTGTTCTATAGGTGTCCTTTCTGAAGCTGGTGAAACATCTCTAAAGAGAGAATGTCCCAGATTCTTTACTACCATCTGTCTGTTTTCAGCTGTAAAGATCACTCTTTGAAAAATTGCTTTCTTAGATTTGGTGGTTAGACTAGGAAAACTATTTTAAATGTTACTTTGGCAAAGTTGTTTTTTACAGTCAGTAACAGTCGTTCGACACTCCATGCTAATCAAAGGTCTTGGCTCATACTTTGCTGCGGGAGTATACAAGTTGCTCTTGATTATAGTGACACCACAGCTAAGACTTTTCCAGGAGTATACTGAATGGTGTGTTAATATAAATGTGCATCAAAAAGTTTAAACATAGTATCTTACTGTAAGGATTCAAGCATTTCATAGCTTATTTTTGTATGAATTCTCAAGAATTTTCTGCACTTCCTCTGTATTAGTATACACTATTTGATTTGAGAGGTATGTGCACAGCAGAGAGATCCCCCTCACTGAGTTTGAGCCTTCCATGCTGTATGTTCTCACCAGCTGTGAAATAGAGGTAATTTCTGATCTATAAAATAATTTTGCCTTTTATGGACCACATTATACTGGAAAACCATTCTAAAGTCTGCCTGTAAGTTCAAAGGTAATTGACTGTGTCTTCATGTTAAGTTCTTTTCAATCCATCCAGCATTTTCTGTAGAAAAAAAGGTCAATTCCATTTTACAGAAATAATTAATGAACATCTGACTGGTACCATATAAACTAACATAGAAAAAATCATTAAAAGAAAGATTGGAAATTCTTCAGGATGTTACACTTAGGAAGTTCAGTGGTTTTAAACTTCTGTGTAGACTAGGAATACCAAAATTCTTATGACAGGTTTGAATAGCTATTTCAGTATTCAGAGGTTTCTCTGAATTAAAGAGAATTAAACTCTCCATACTTGTTTGATTGGAATAAAATAACATTTTAAAAATAATTACTATTTTAAGATTCTGATCTTTGTTGTGACTGTGGGTGCTGCAACTGACTCAGTGCAGTCAGTTGGAGAAATAAGGTCTGAGATTATGAAAATGTTTTGCCATTTTGTAGTCTCTTTTAAACAACCTAATTAATAGCCTAATCACACATATACCATACATGATGCTCTTTAACATCTAGCCTTTAAAATAGGTTTCTATGGAGTTCTTTTCTTAAAATGGTATGCAGCCAATGCTGTTGAGGAGCCCTTTGTGTAATAAGTCCTGATCTGTCACAAAATTGCTTATCCAAATTGAAAAACACCTGCTGAGTTTTGAGCAAATAGATAGCATAATATAATTGCTTTAATGAATGCAATGGGGAAAAGACATGTATTTCTACTGTATACTACTCTGTAAAATCTGTGGGGCTTGAAGTCTTGCATCACTCCTGTGAATAAACTAATAGTACATGTTAGCATCTTTTATAGGGAGGAGCTCCATGACCGTTGATGTAGCTGTGGGAACTGGGCTAACATAACGGTCAAGTTAATTGTAGAATTAGAAGTGGAATTCCAGTCATCTGCTCTAACCCCCATGCGAGTACAGCAACAAGTCTCTTTTAATGTTTTTATAGTAACTTTATGGTCCATCGATAGGATCTGAATTTGAGTAATATAAGTTGCTGGTGTCAAATACTTAAATATTTTGTGGTATACCTTCAGATATTGGGTGACTGTTATGCTTGTATATACTACTTCAGGTCTCTGTTGTACCTCTTAACATTGGGAAAGAAATATATACTGAAAGACTTTATCGTGTCTAAACAGATATATTTAATCAGAGTCCTTTGGCTTCTGAAAATAAGTTGTCTAATGAGAATTTCATCTGAGCAGCTGTGACTGAGGAGGTCAACAGGCATTGCCTAAGAGAATATGGCCCAGCTGGTTAAATCTGGTTGTTGTAGTGATTTAAATGGTCAAGTGCTGCTTGTAATCCAGGACCGTCTGTTTGTAA